CAATATTCAAGTTAGTCAAAAATTATGGGCATACAGAATGCAAAAAGTTACCTTATGAAAGGGAAAAAGTTTCAAGACATTTAGATATTAACAACTATTTATTAGTTTATTCAGACATCTTGTTGCTTTTTATACAATTTTTGAACAATATTGTCTATTAATTTAAACATTTATTCGAAAAAATAAAATGCTTTAATATGTTTATAAAATTTTAATTTTGCATGTTTGAAAACTCCCTATTTTGTACTGTGAAAACAAGAGGGAGATGGATGTTATTAAGCTAGGATCTAAGATTGCTGCAAAATATATTATACTAATCTTTTTCTCAAAAATTATCAGCAATACTTTTAACATTACTCGTATACCCCTTAACCATTCAACTTAACCAACTTAACTTGAAAATTTTTTGCTAAGAGCGGTTTCAAAATTTGTTGAAGGGTGGATTTGAACTGACAACTTTTAACTTGAGTCAATATTTATTTATATTATTATTGTGTAAAGTTGTATATTTTATTATGGTAACCGTTTATGCATTGTTAAATATTTTATGTCGAAACTTATAACCGTAATCTCCTTAAGACTACTCATTTAGTAATTACTTGAAGTTACAGCAGATAATAGTGTTTTAAAATAAATTATAAATTGATACCCCGCAATTTAATTTGCTCATTTTAATCTAAAGTTTATGGACATTAAAATTCTAATTCCATTTATACGATTACAAGGTACACGTACGTGAGTATGTAATATGTATATCAAGGTAACGGATGTATGTAGTTTGCGCAAATTTATCGTTTTGTTTGTTACACAACCGAACTCGACGGTTAAACGGATCTGATGTAATTTAACACGCAAGTAATTTTCGTCATGGGTCAATAGTTACGCTAGCTCATTAATTACTGTAACGTTTTATTTTCGATATGCCCGAAGTAGGACTATTTCTGCATACATTTGTGTATTCCGTATTTCTTTGTGAGAAGAGTGAATTATTTATATTATTACTACCTACATAAGGCCTATTGAATTCTGTGGAAATTATTTTCGTAATTTTAGTTTATTGAAGTCGGTTTTCATTTTTTTAAGTTTAATTAGTTTATATTTTTTTATTTAGCAACTGGACTGTCGTCTAAATAGTTGCATTTAAAACTCCACCCCCTATTATTTTAAACATTACGAGTAGAATTTTTTGTTCAAATTTTAATGGATCTATCCTTGAAGTATAACCAAATAGTAAAAACATTAAAATTGATTCACGATTGGCGAAGATATCACGTAATATAAAAAATAACAGTCGATTTGAGTTTTCATAGAATAAGGGCGACAAAAGAGCACACAGTCCACCTGATGGTAAGTGGTTGCTGTGGCCCATGTATATCCACATTCATCCTCAATTAACAATCAAAAAGCAGATGGGTTGTCACCCGTGAGGATTAAGATGGAATGCCTTGTTTCCAGTAAAAAGATCTCCAGTTCTCTACACCTACCATTAGAAACACAGCAGCATTGAGCTGCTAAATTACGCTGGTATTCTGTTAGGGACGGTCCTGCGCTGGTCGAACTGTTCCACTCGTGCAACAAAAATAACACAAATATTGCTGCATCGCTTAGCTCTATTACCAAGTTCCTCATTTTTGAAGTCGGCTAAAAAAAGGAATTTCTGTTTAAAATATAAAGTTAGTACAATTAGCCGTTACACACTTCCACTATTTCCGTACAAATTCGACGTATGGGCGCCGCACGCTCCCGGCCAGGCTCTCGCACATCGCCACCGTACACATGCGTGCGCGCATCCGGTCTTCACATTGTGTTGTGGTGCTTCGAAACTACTTGACAATAGTTCCCGGAACTTTGAGGCTTAATAATAGATTTTAATTAAATTTTTGACTGTGTTTAATTCACTAATTGCGCAATTTGGATGTTATTAATTGTGAATAATTATCGTTTCTAGTGGCGTAAAAAGTAAGCAGTGTTTATTTGTAAAGAAACTGTATTTCAGCTACATGTGTTGTGAGGTTTATTAAAAAAATGAATTAAAGCCGTGAAATAATTATTTTTAGTAAAATGGTGGAATTTGGTCTGGAAAATGTTAGTAAATGGATTTTAATTAATTTTAATCGTACACTAAACTTTTTCAAAATTTCAAAGTTGTGATCAAAAATTACTATTATTTTAACGGTCGATATTTTTACAATATAAATAATTATAATTAATTAGGAAACATTAAATTACTATTTTACATTTTAACTTTTAAAAGTAAAGATTCTTTAAAACAAATAAAGAACGTAAACGCTAAACGTGCGGACAATCCACCCGATGAATTATGGACGTTTTGACCCATTGGCATCAACATCTATTCTCGATAAACAATCAAAATAAAGATGCGTTGTTATCCACAAGAACCTCAGTGTTTAGTATCTTAATAGAATACCTATTATCGACTCATATTCTATAAAATATGTTCGTTCTTTGGTCATGCCAAGATATGCCGCAGCCTAGCGCGGGTCTATTAAGTGATTTTTTTTATAAAAGTAAATAATAGTATATACGATTAAAACTACTTTTACGGATTTTATCGCGTTTATTTTTACTTTTTATTTACTTGGTCCAGCACCCATGGTCACGGGGGACTGAGATGACTGACGTCCCGATGTCATTGTTAAACCCGGAGTACCTTCAGCTTTTTTAATTATTGTTTATGGTCCGATCTATGCAAAATGAACTGACTATGTCCTGAGGTCTTGCTTGGGTTTAGTTTTAATTTTATTGATTATAGGATCCCAAGCAGGTGGTAGTACCCAGCCTCCTTCTCTATTGAAATTAGGATGTTTTTTTAATTTCAATAGCCTCACGTATCATCCTTGGTAGGAATCGGCGTTCTTTCGCGAAAGAACGCCGATTCTACCGACGTGAGGCTATTGAAATTAAAAAACATCCACCATGGGTGCTGGAAAGCGCCCGAAACGTCGGGAATTAAAAATAAAAGTAAATAAAAAGTAAAAATAAACGCGATGAAATCCGTAAAAGTAGTTTTAATCATGTATAGTGTTCGCGTAAATATAAGAAATCATAATAGTATATATTTCCGGCCCTAACTATAGACTATAGAGCTATGACTCAGTAAAACATACAGGAAGTCGATGGCAGGTGGCTCAGGATCGTGTTTAATGGCATTCCTTGGGGTAGTCTATGTTCAGTAGTGGTCCTGTGAAAGGCTATCGTGATGATGTAGGTGTAATGATGATATTGAATATTTGCACGATTGGGTGCAGGTAATTTCCATTTCCGGATTATGGAAAAAGAAATATCGATGACGCTGCTACAATACTTACTAATAGCTTACTCGAAAACAAGCATGAAGATATCGCTTATATTAATTCAATGATACTGACTAATTGGAACCCAAATATCTTGCTAATATTAACTTTAAGGCTGAATATACCAAAGCTCTGAGCTACCACGGCTTGTTTATTTGTTACGGACATTTTTTTTTAAAGAAATTGATGGTTAAAATATTTGTGGATTTTTATTTTTCGAAAAATTTTGAAACATGGGAAATAAAAATGGAACATAACGACGGAACTTAAAAAGCATGGTCCTATATTATTAATATGACAAACACATTACATTTTAGTATCATGTCATAAATATTTCATTGTTAGTTGTGTATTCGTTCCTATCTCATTCATTCATTTAAAATGACACATAAGTGAGTTGTTTTGCGCATTTACGCATGTTTCTGACAAACAGCATTGCTACATACACCGCGCACAGCAATTAAATACTTAATTAAAGTCGCTTAAATATTAAGTTTGAATTCAATCTTTTGCATCTATTCTAATTGAATTCAAAATTGTTTATAGAAATGGGGTGTTATTTACATAATTATTGACGTTGTTTCATTTTTTTATAACTTTTGTCCATTCCCACCATCAATTCTTAGCAATAGGCCATTGTGTCTATGGTTCCCACAAAACGTTGGCGTAACAGTACTTTTGTATTTCAACGCGTTTTTCACGTCTTTGTTGGTTCAGCAGCAAAGCGATAGATTTGAATTCAGAATGTCTCAGTTTCTATTCTCATGCCATATATAGGGTTTTCAATTGAATAATAATTTTCTAACATTTTGAACGCATCAAAGCGACGATACAAATCGATTTTAAAGAATCGTGTAGTGGTGATTTAAGACGTTTAGAGGTGACACAGGGAAACTGAAACAGCATCTTCCTGGCAACAGCTAAATAAAAATTAAAGCTGGGTTGCCAACCCGCTTGCTACTGTGGCAAATATCCCGTTAGGAGGTAATCTATGGGGGAAGCCTTTGTCAACAGTGGATATTGATAGGCTGTAATGGGTAGTAATATAAAAACAGCAGGGCACAAAAAATGAACTACCTAGCTGAACTACTTTTATCAATGCACATCCTTCCATTGTTTCAACCCAATTGTGTTATTCTCAATTTGTTCGGATTCTTATAGTTTTAACAATCAAGATAATCCTTGACATATTGCTCCGGAAATGACACAGTTACTTATTAGTGATGAATAATCAAAAGATAAAAATGTTATTTGCAAAAATAATGTTGAATTAAATGATTTCAAAGCCGCATTGTTTACTATTCATAGTTAAAATTTCTAATAGTATATACGATAGTTTTTTTTTTATTTTTATAGAATACGGGTGACAAACGAACACACAGTCCACCTAATGGTAAGTGGATGCTGTGGCCCATAGACATCTACATTTGTCTTCAATTAAGACTCAAGCTGTGAATGCGTTGCCGGGACCTGAGGACTGAGATGGAATGCCTCGTTTCCAGTAAAAAGGGTCTCCGGTTTTCAACACTCACCATACGAAACACAGCATCATTAAGCTGCTATTTTACGCTGGTATTCTGTGAGAGCGTGGTCCTATCCCGGTCGAGCCAACCCAATCGTGCTGCAACCAAAATATAGCTGCAGCATGGCTCTACCACGTTATTGAAACTTTTTCGTCTTCCGCAGAACCAGCAAGCTGGCACATCAGGCGACTTCCGACAGTATCACGATCAAAACTACGGCTACACGATGCACCAAAATCAAAACCAAGGTGCTGTAACCAGGAACATTCAAAATTATGACTCGCCCAAACCGCCCATACCAGCCAAAAATTATGGCGCCAAAGCTGATGTGCAAAACAATTCACATCATATAACAGTGACCGTTGAAACTGGCAAAGATAATACAAGAGATGCTCCTAAAAGTACTAAATCTGTAAGTAAAACCTATCATACACTGAAAGATATGATATCTAGTAGATTTAAAAGCAAAGATAGTAATGATAACGAAAAGACTGAAGAACCTAGCTTAAATAATATTGAAGAAAGAAAAAGGCCGGACCAAGAACAAGTGACGCCGAGGGAAACGCCTACAAGGAAAGTGGAACAAGGCATTTACGGAAGGCCTATGCCACAGGCCAGGCCAGATATGCAGTACTCGCATGGTATGGCCAATAATATGGCTTTTCCTAGTCCGTCGCCACACAGGTAAGCATTTAGTAATCCATAAAATGTTGTACAAATTTACCATAAAATTTGAAAATTCCTAAAATTCTAATTTATTTACAATGAACTGATTTACGTGCTAAGAAAATTATGCACTATCATTGAACCAGAATTTATTAATGTCTAGTTATAAGTCCTACTAAAGCAGTGTTATTTTTTAATTTATAAAATTCAATGACGGAAAAGGTCTTAGAACCATCAGTAATGTTTTTTTATCACTACCTCTACTCTACTTCCACACATATTCTCATTACAGACAATTGATGCAGCAGCAAATACATCAACAACAGATGATGCTAAGCCAACAAGCAAGATCACAAGAGATGCTGGCGTCTACACCCCATTCACGTCCTCAAGCACTGGGTGCTGACGCCTTGTATCAACAATATGGTCCTCCAGGTAGACGAAGTGCAGTTTATCAGCGAGATATGGATGTGAGATCTATGGCTAACTTCACTTCGCTCAAAACTGGACCACAAAATCAGGTAGGATTACTGCTTGTTCATCACATTTTTAAAAATATTTTTGTTCTTAATATTCATTACTAGCTTTTGCCTGCAGCTTCGTTCATTTGTAGTAAACGGCAGCATTTACAATAATCACAGCTATTGTGATTTTCATTGTGTTATTACAAAACCTACGAAAGCATAAAGGTGTAATTATAGAATTACGCTCCAAATATATTCCACAAGCATCGTGCATTATTCTGAGATAAAAAGTGGCCTATGTTTCTTTCAGGCCCATAATATATCTACATATCTCTATACAAAAAATATTTCAACCCTTTGCCCCATTGTTGCGTGAAGAAGGACAAACAAGCAAACTCACTTTCATATTTATAATATTAGTAGGGATTAATGATACCGGAACCTTACTTAGCAAAGTTCGTGTTTAAAATAGTCTAGACTTTAATAAAAAATAATAAATACTTTCAGTTATGTTTACAATTCTTCATCAGAAGAACTAGTTGAAAATTAAAGCAATAATTTCAATGCAACCTTTCTTACTCGACCTCGTGCTATTCTCACTACAATCACTGCCTGCTATACAAAGAACAATGGATTCCAACAATTAAACTACTCTTCCCACGGAATGTGCCGCAATTATATTAACAAGTACTTGATTCTACAAGACGAAAACATCTCTGGAATGGATTTTATGTCTTTATGAAAGTTAATTAATTTATTAGATCATTGTTACGCTAGTGAAAACAAGAAAAATCAAATATATTAAGAAATATTTGCATTTGAACCATGATTAATCATGAGCTAGCTATACTGTATCTATTATCTTAGTTTCTTTTACGCTAATAGGAACAACCATATTATTATGTATCGATTATTCGATTATCGGTACAATAAAGGAATTATTGAAGTCCATTAATATTTTAAATATTAACTTTGTCACAGCGTCTAGTACTTATACATATTTTTACATACACTTTTTTTGAAATATGTTTTAGGGTGATAAGGTAATAGTATCGTTTTTTTGTCTTGGTGAGATTCTACTTTAGTTCCTCCCGTTCGTTTACGAATAACATATATATTTATAAAATAAAAAGTAATATATAATTTCTTCTATTTTTTATATATTTCAGTTTGACAATTCACATTCAAGACCTGATCTTAGAAGTCCGCAACAATTAGAGAGAGAGGTTATAAGACAAAGAGGTTTAGCAGATGGAAGGCGAGCTGCTTCTCATCCGCACCTACTAGATGAGCCGCCACAGCGACCAGAAGTAAATACTTCTCTAATCCATGAAAGGTCTAGAAGAAACTCACATGGAAACCTTTTAGAAGGATTACCTATTGAAAGCCCACAAAGACTAAATACTGATGAAAGAGAATCAGATGATGGAGGATTTAGGTTACGCTTAGCAGCCCAAGGAAGATCAAGCTTTGAAGAACGAATTCGGACAAGCGGACGATCCATAGAGTCAAATAGACAAGAAAGATTACAAGATAATATTTACAGGCGGACACCTGAAAGCAATAGAGAAGCCCGAAGAACGCCAGATTCTGTTACAAATAGACATAAAGAAGAAACGACAAATATTCAGGGCCAAGATAGAAACGATGAAAGTGCAAGTCAAAAGTCTGCAGACAGTGTTTACAATTCCAGTGGAAAACCTGAAAATTATCACCCACAGCCATCTTCTTCCAGACAAACACCAAATCGAATAGAAGATTTGAAAGCTCACGGAAAGAAGACAGCAAATGGCTCTGGAGCTGGTTCTGGTTAGTAAATTCAAAATTATTTTTTAACGATTTATCCAACTTAATTCTTATTGGTTTTTTCCTAATAGTTGCAAGAATGTGCTTTGGATTGATAATTTACTCAGAAAACATAACTTTATTACATTTAGTATACGCTTGTGTTTAGTGTATTGATTAAAACTAATTTTACGCATTTTATCGCGTTTATTTATTTTATTTTATTTTTAATACCCGACGTTTCTGGTGCTTTCCAGCATCCATGGTCACGGGGGACTGAGGTGACTGACGTCCCGATGTGAAAGTAAACCTGGAGTACCTTCAGCTTGTTAAAATCCGTAAAAGTAGTTTTAGACAATGTGTAGTGTTCGCGTAAATATAATAAATCATTATGTTTATATGTATGTTAATAATGATTGATTACTCAATCATTTTGCCACACGGGTGTAGTAGAATAACTTGCACATTTCTGGATTATATGTTGCTTGTACAAGAACCGACATGAAACAGTTTTATATTTATAAGTAAATAGGATATATCATTATTTTAGATTGCGACAAGAACGGAGGCCAGTCATCAAACGTAGACTCTGGTAGGGGCAGTGTAGCCTATTCAAGTGGCCGAAGACCAGAAGCTAGCCCTCATGATACATCAGCAGACTCAGATGCTGTGGCTCATTCGCGAAGTCAACCACAACCTGGCACGAGTCAGCAGCCACCAGGGCCAAGTATGTCGTTAATTCTTAGGGAGTCTTGTCAAAAACTACAGCTAAAGATTGTTAAAAACTGTCTTAAAATTTTTGATCGACGATTTGATAGTAAAATCTATGTATATGCTAAAACTTTAATAATAAAACATGTTTAGGCAGAGTTGTCTTTAATTTTACCTTATTAATTATTCAGGTGCAGAAAATGAATGGGCAGATCTTGTGGAATGCGAATTACGTCAGATTCTGGAGCCAAAGTTGTCTGCACTTCGCTTGGATTCTTCAATCAGTTCTGACGGTTCTGTGACACCTCCTTTGCCGCCCCTCTCTCCTTCGTCTGATCTACACAAACGAAATAGGTATTAACGTCTTTAGATACTACTAAGATAGCATTATTTTTATTCACTAACATTTTTATTTTTCCTACTGATTTGGAAAACCCCTCATTGCAGTTTTATGTAATCGCACACAATTTGCTCACGTTCTTAAATTTGTACGCAAGCTCCAGTCAACTGAACTACCACGGCTTAAAATAAAAAATAATATAATTTTTACTAAAATCAAAAATCCTGTGACGTATGTAAAAGAAAGATTCAACTGATAACAAAACTATGTACCAGTATTTTACTCTGCACTTGATTGTGATTTCAGCCTACCAGGCAGGTCATCAGAGTATCCTGAAGAGAGAAGACGGAGTCGTGAGTCTCCGCGATGGCATTCACACAAGAAGCATTCGTCCAAACGAGAGCATCATTACAAAAAACATCGTAAGTTGCTTCATTTACTCTTATAAAAATTAAATATTTAAAAATTATTGTGCCTGTATTATTTAATGTAATATACATTAAACCAACCAAGCAATTTGTACGATTACGACATTATATTTGATACGATTTAAATTGACAAAGCCACGTTGTTTAATGAGTCTCAACTTTGCGGGTTGATCACTTACATGACAGTTTATTTCATAGAATACTATACTTAATACATACATAATAGAACGGAGGAGTGGGCGGAGCCCGTGTAGCCACTAAAATCTCACTAACACGTCGATTCACACGTATAAATGTGAACATGAGATGTGTTTTGACGTTACAATCGTTTCCGAATTTCGCATACAAAATTATTTAGAAAATGCCAAATTGCACGCTATTTACAAAAAAAATGTATTAAAATCCGTCTTCCAAGACAGCGGATCGGGTTTGTAGTAGTGAATAATACGACGTAAAAGGTTGACAGCCATTCTATTGTGTATTATAGTATTCTATGGTTTATTTTATATTATAGTTGTAGTTTTTATATATTAATAGGTCGGGGAAAAAGTTTCTTCGCAATGATTGAATTGAATAAAATTTTTTTGATAAAATTTCATTGAATAAAACTATACTCGTATTTACGGATTTTATTGCGTTTAATTAGCTATTTTTCCCGAAGTTTCGGGTGCTTTACAGCACCCATGGTCACGGGGAGGACTGAGATGTTTAACGTCGGAATGTCATAGTTAACTCGGCTACCTTCCGTTTTTGAATATCATTTTTTTATATATTTTTTTTTAATTAGCGTAAACGAACTAAAAATTAATATTCAAACCAAACACGCTGCTTATGCGACTGCCCCGTTGGTCAAGTGTTCGTATACGCGATTGCTGATCATGTGGTCCTGGGCTCGAATCCCGGGTCAGACCGAAATCAATTATTGGGTTTTCCTGTCAAGAAATTCTTAGGAGCAGCTCGGACGGACAGGAAGATGATTGATGAGATTTTCTCCCCTGTGCCTCGGATAGCACGTAAAGCCTGATGTAGGTACTGCGCCTGATCTCTTTCTGATCGTATCGAATTGCCGTCTTATCGGATTAAGAGATGGAATTGAGAGTGCACCTGTGCTTGCATTTTCACGGGCACTATAATCCTGTTCTGTGCATAGGGCTCTCCATCGAGATTGGCCGTCGCGACTGAAATTCAGTCTGGAGTTTATTTCAATATACTTTACTTCCAGTGTTTGGCCTGGACACGACGGATGTGACGTCGACGACAACGCGCAGCTTGGATCTGTCATCGCTGCTGGGCGCGCGCTCCGACAGCGACGCTTCCGGCGGAGACGCGAGAGCAATCCGCCGGCAGCTGCGCGGCCTCGAGAACATGTATGCGGAGGTGCTGCAGCTGCTAGGCGTGCGGCGCCCCGCTCCCGCGCACCCTCACCCGCACACTCCCGCCTGGGATGCACGGTGAGTGTGTGGATGTAACGCGCCATGAGAATATAAAATAAATATAAAAGAATCTTTTTTATTTCTTTTATATATATATTGGTAAATGGTTTCACCAAACATTCGAGGCCTCATGCAGAATACGCTTTTCTTAAATAAAAGAGTCTTTTTTACATGAGAAGGGGCAAACGAACCTACGGCTACTATTAGGATGGCTCAATTTATCTTTATGACGCTGGACATTCAGATTTTTGTAAAGACTTAAGTTTTGACGTACAAATAAGACTACCTTATACTGAAATTTAGCTTACAACTCTCATTCTGGTTAATTTTACAATTTTTTTTGAGCCTTAAATACTGTTTCTGTTTCCGCACAATTACCCCATAACATAATAACCATACCTAAGCGTCGACATAACATAAGCGTGGTATGATGCCATTACGGTGGATGTATCCACAACTTTTCGAAGCATATATAATGCATAGGAAAAACTACTTAGTACTAACACACACTGCTCACATGAAACTGCCAGTTCAAATATACCCAAAACTTTAATATTTTCTATTGATTTTTTGTCCTAAATAGTCTCAAGTTTCTATCCATTCACAATTATCGAACAAATTTACATACCAATCAAGTACATATACATAAAATGGTCCTTCGAGCCCGATCTGAACCTGAGATATTACACAGCAATTAAGTTATTCCTTAGTTAAGTTATTCCTTAGTGATTTAAATCACCTCTAAGTAATATTCTTTTAATTTTTAGACTTTCGTCCAAACGACGTTACGGCAGTATGTCTTCGTTACCATCCAGCTCGGTCAGCAGTAGACCGATTAGGGATAAGAGACGCAGCTCAAACGAACACAGAAAAAAGCATGACCTAAAAGTAAGTTATTTTAAGACGACTTTTGCTACTTTTTTTACTTATTATAAGCCAGTGCTTGACCACAACCTCACCTAGTAGTAAGTGGTGATGTATCCCTGTACTCTTTACTAACCCTTCAATCCTCATAAAAATCCCATGCAGTCGCATTCGTCCGGCAAATCCCGAGCGGTCGCATGCGACCGCACCCACCCATAGCACTTTAAACCATTTAAACTTACATTTAGAGACTACTTTTCTATGAAGACGTTTTGCATTATAAAGTCTACACAAAATTTTCTATCCTGGTCTAAGCAAAAGTCAGGTTTTACTTCATTACAAAACGATTTAATTGTATTTTGATTACAAAAAAATACATACCAAGAGGATGTCTGCAGCGTGAAAATCACAGTTATTTCTAGTATATTCTCGATATATATATATATATATATATATATATAATTTATCTTTTTACGTCTAGTCACAAAAAACTTTCATTACAATTTAATAATAAAAAACCATACTAAAACACTAATAAAACACTAGGAAAATCCAAAAATCAACACATTAACATTCACACGAAAATGGCGTACGAAATGAACGTGGATTATAAATAAATATCCATATATTAAGTGACTTTTTATTCCATTAGAGGATATAAAATTTCATATCTTCCTAGAAAAGTAGTTTCTAAACATAAGTATTCATGGGTTAAAATGCTGTGGGTGGGTGCGGTCACATTTGACCTCTTGAATTTTGACGGAATATCGAAGCAGTCAAAGGGGAATGGCCGGCTTGTATGGGAGTTTCGTACCGCTAATAAAATTTCGTGTTTTGGGATATTTTTGGTTTTAGTTGGTAGATAGTAGGATAGACAAACCCCTTTAAAATTCTTAGTTTTTTATAACTTGGGAGATAAAAGTTATAACCAGTTTTTATTTTTTAAGATTATCTACATAGACCATAGACTAATATATAATATTATGAACTAGTGTTACAATTTTCTTATTTAACTGGCTTTACGGCTTTGGGTTCTAGACCTTCTGAGCCTATCATTTCTTTCGTAATCTTCGTTTTTGTATATTTTTTTCATCACAATATGCTGATGCGTCACAGTTTTTGGGAGATTATATCAACATCAAACCACTTGTTTCGTCGTTTTCTCTAATAGTTCACACGCGCAGACAATTCACAAAATCGCATCACTTTTACGAATCAAAATCTACTTCAAACTATTATTCAAGCAACAAAACAGGAGCGACAAATTGTCCGACAATCCGTCGACGGCCAAAACCTCTCCTAGTGTACCTACGTTACATATAGGCAAATAAACATTGTTTTTATATTAAAGTAAGTATTCTATATTGCTTTTCGCTACTCTGTAATGCTTTACTAACCGTTTTTTTATAGAACAAGGTTGACAATCGAACAGACAGTCCACCTGATGGTTATTGGATGCTGTGGCCCACGGACATCTACATTTATCCTCCATTTAGAATCAAAATTCAGATGCGTTGTCACCTCTGAAGACTAGGATTGGATGCCTCGTTTCCAGGAAAAAAGGGTCTCCAGATCTCTACACTCACCATATGAAACACAGCGTATTAAATTACACTGGTATTCTGTGAGAGCACGTTTCTTCCCCGGTCGAGCAGTCATTCATGCTACAACTATATTATAGCTACAGCGTGGTTCTACCATTAATTAGGTAGATTGAGATGAGGATCGGTATCTACTCAGCGTTGCGAATTAGGAGATACCTATATTCAGCAGCGGACAGCAACATTTGATAATGATAAAGCTCTGATGGGGTTTTGAGTGTAGGTAAATAAAAAATATTTTGTTTCTTTAAGTTCATTTATTTTATTGTACTTATAATTAACGATTTCTTAATAAAACTTTATCTAAGAAGGGCGCAGGCCGGGTGATACCCTCATGTGGTGAGCATGGCTTAGGTACCAAATAATACTCATAACATGTGAGTAGCATCCCACTGCTCTTAAACCTACAATGCAGTTACAGCAATAACTTCTGATTGCGTCCCGCCCAATCATGTCACTATAAATACAAAGTTGTATATAATAACTATAAATACAAAGTTTTAGTGGAAAAATGGCGGTACTTAATTTTAGCATGAAGCAAGATTGGGTTTATTCTCTCTAAACCATCTATTCTCTCTCGGGATACTTCTTGTCTATATATCGCATGAAAGCGAAAATTCTTATATTAGGCAACACAATATGCTGGGATCTTTATTGTGGTCCTTGTGGTACATGTAAGCTCAAATCTCGAGCTTTGTCCCAGCAAACTTCATACATGGATGACATCTGTAAATAATTTATTTCATGAGATGGCCATAGATATAAAATTAGTATTGATGAAATACAAATTAAACACAGACATAAGTTGTGCCCAACATTTTCAAGCATGAAAAAAACACAAACAAGATAATGGCAATACAATACAGCGAGATTCCTGATTGAATTTGAGCAACCCAAGCTGGAGAATGGTTCTTGAGACACAATAATTGGTTGCCTCCACCTTACAGAAAACCCTTTTCAAATAACTATATGGTATATCTGTATGTGTAATTACGGAATAATAAGTTGTAGAGGAAAAGGGCTCCTTGTTGTTAGTAGAACCCACCTCATGAGTGTCCCAGGTTTAGCAACATTTAAGAGTAATGCCCTTTGCATGGCAAGCGTTAACCGTATACCGTTGTGGGGAAACTGTACAGAAATCCAAAATTATTTATATATATTATCGCTCAAAACAATCTATAAGTTCTAGCAAATATTTCATACAATACAAGATCATTAACAGCATTCATTGCTATGCAGATGACAGCACTGGTGATGCTCTTTACACCGGCCGAGCCAATATTTCTCGGGAAAACGTTTCTGAGTGCCGGGACAAACTTGTGTCTGAAGTCGAGTCTCTGCTGGACAGAGTCTCGGATTGGGGGCGACTAAATCTAGTCCAGTTTAACCCCCAGAAGACACAAGTTTGCGCGTTAACCGCTAAAAAGAACCCCTTTGTCGTATCCCCTCAGTTTCAAGGCACTCCCCTTGTTGCCTCAGCCAGTATCGGAATCCTCGGCGTCGACATATCGAGTGACGTGCAGTTTCGTGGTCACTTGGAAGGGAAGGCCAAATTGGCCTCTAAAAAGCTTGGCGTGCTCAGCAGAGCGGGACAGTATTTCATGCCGGCACACCGCCTGCAACTTTACAAGGCGCAGGTTCGGCCGCTCATGGAATACTGTTCCCATCTCTGGGCTGGGGCTCCCCAGTACCAGCTCCTTCCACTTGACCGCATCCAGCGCAGAGCGGCTCGAATCGTTGACGACCGAGTGCTTTCCGATCGGCTCGATTCACTGGCGCTGCGAAGAGATGTTGCATCTCTTTGCGTATTTTATCGCATCTATCACGGGGGAGTGCTCTGAGGAATTGTTCGGATTAATCCCAGCCGCCAAATTTCGTGAACGCACTACACGGCAAACGTCCCGATACCATCCACACCATCTGGATGCTTGGCGGTCCACCACTGTACGTTTCAAAAGGAGTTTTCTTCCGCGTACAACCTCTCTGTGGAATAATTTAGCACCGGTGATTTTTCCGGACCGATACGACCTGGGGACCTTCAAGAAAAGAGCTTACTCCTTTCTAAAGGGCCGGCAACGCACCTGCAATTCCCCTGGTGTTGCGGTTGATCATGGGCGGCGGTAGTCACTTAACATCAGGTGAGCCACATGCTCGTTTGCCCCCTCTTCTATAAAAAAAAAAAAAAAAAAAAAAAAAAAGTTACTTCTTTATACATATTAGAATCATCTAAATTAGCATTGTCTAGTTTGAGATACTGTGGGTACGTACTAGAGACAATTTGAAACTAATTTTCTAAAATTAAAATGTAAATACATACAAACACAATACACAGAACAAACATCTATGTTCATCGCACAAATGTTTGTCCTTGGTGAGAATAAAACTCACAACCTTCAGCGCAGAAACCATATATAAGTAGTTTAAGGTAATCATAGTCGTTAGATATCCCATGCTCTTGCATTCAAACCACTTCAAACACACCGCTTATACCAAAGGAAGTTTTCTCTGAAGAGCAATAGTTTAGTACGCTGTTCCTAACATAATCATCCATTGTACAGTGCCACATCTTTATAAAAAAAGTAAATTATTTTGTGTACATATCACTAGAGCCACTAAATATTCATTTATCATTATATTGTAGCCTTTTTTGTGAACTGCAGTATACTGTCATTCCCACATTGTCTTCGTAAACTTCTAAAAAGTAAGTGGTAATATTCACTATATCCAAGTTAGGTGATACACTTTTCGATGTTATACTGCTATACAAACTGTCTGAAGGCCACTCAACAATATACGCCAAATCATTTTGTAGTATTTCATCTTCTATGTTTCTATTAAAATTATTATTTCTATCATAGTCCTTGAGTCTGTAAAAAGAAAACATTGCTGTAAGCTGGGTAAATATAGATAATTTTGACAAAAAATGTATTTGTAAATAGTAAACAAACTAACCCCTGAATTAACTGTTCTTTCAACCCACTCAATTTTGCACCTCTTTTCATATCAGAGACCTCACTCTACACTAGCGGTAGCACCTCTAGCGGCGAATTCATAGGCGATTCATTGCGTTTAGTTTATGCTTATATTACGTTTATTTATTAAAATCTTTTTATTGATATTATTAACTAATCCTAAGTTCTGAAAATATAAAACTTACATAAAAATTAATGGCTTAGTTGTGTTGATATCTGGTATTAATTCTATAACAAAACAACGAAAAAAAAGTATGTAGTACTAAATCTGCCGTTCCCCTTTGGACGCCGTTTGAGAGGTTAATACTCTTTATTATACACCAATACATATTAAAATAAAAAATAAGTACATAAAGATAGTACAGTAGGAGTATTTATTGTTCCAAGCTATTTCTTCCAGTTCATTTACACCGAGAAGACGAAATGTTGTCTTCGCAAAGCTTATTTCGAAAATTTCTTCCAGGGCATCAACAAAAGGTTCCAACGACTGGAATCGCATGTTGTAACTTTGGCTCGTTCAGTAGCACATCTCTCCAGCGAGATGAGAACACAGCATCTGGTGATGCAGGAGATGGACAACATACGCGCAGAGATCGCTGCTTTACGGCATATGTACAAGTGAGTGTTTTTTTTTCAGCTGCTATTTGACTCTGGTATTCTGTGAGAGCGTCTTCCTTCCCCGGTCGAGGCGACCTATTCGTGCCACAATTATACCAGTATTATAGCTGCAGAATGGCTCTACCACGTAAAAAACTACCAGTTCACATAATAATGATCAATGTAACCTATGAATATCTGGAAATAACTCATAACAAAGAAGATTACTTACTGTCGAGTTTGTAGGAAAATGGTGCTGTTCAAACTTAAGGATAAAAATTAAAACATCACATCACAAGTAAACTACATCAAAAGTCATTTATAAAGGCTACAGCTGGGCATAATTTTTTTCAGTCGATCAGCAAGATTCACCGTGTTCAAGTGAGTTTGACACTTAAAGAAAAAAATTGGAGTATCACCCACTCTTACAGTCTATTTTCCATTTATATTTAGTAATATCGAATTGTTCCACCGCTTAAAAAGCGACGGACGCGAACCTTGCAAAGTAATCTCCATATTGGTTTTCAGTTTAAGTAAGTTTTTTATCTGTGTATACTCGTAGTTTCTGTGTCTTTACATTACTACTTAAATTAATTTACAGATCACAGCAGTACATCCGGTCCGGACATCAAAGACATCTCGATCCATATTCCTTTAGCAATCCAGACAGAGTCAAACGCCTTACCAAGTTCTTCGGAGATGAACCTCCCCTCATGAGACTCTTCCTCAAGAAGCTGGGATACGAGGTAAATTTTTACTAACGTAACATAAAATTTATTATATTGTGCGCATTAATTCATCCGCTGGATGGTCTCTTCAACCGACTGACTGACTAACTCGTTGGTCTATTGGTTGTATTAGTGTGACTGCTGACCATGAGGTCCTGTGTTCGAATCCCGGGTCGGGCCAAAAAATTAATTATTAAGTTTTTCCGTCAAGAAATTCTCAGTAGCTACCCGGAGTCAGGAAATTGGCGGTGTTTCACCCCCGTGCCTCGGAAAGCACGAAAAGTCGTTGGTCCTGCGCCTGATCTCTCTGATCTATGAGAGTCAGGGAATAGAGAGTGCACCTGTGCTTGCGCAGACACTTGGGTAATATAATCCTGTCCTGCGCCGATGGCTATTCTCCGATAAGGCTGGCCGCCGTGACCGAAATTTGGTCATGAGGACATTATTATTATTATTATTTAATTTAAATAATTAATTATGAATACGATTGTTATTTTGTAACAGAATAGTGTTATACACCTAGAAAAAATTTAAGCATCTACCTCGCATTTCTTTCTCATCTTTCTCTCTTGCTCTCTCTCCCTCTCTTTCTCATAATACTTAATACTCTACAATGATTTTCCGCATTTCGTTGTGTTTTAACTCATTTGAAATTCTCGTCGTATGGATAGCTTTGCCCATGATCACTGATAGCTGAGGTGCTTGTCGACTTGATGTCATTAACTTCGCCCAAGTTAATTCTGATATCGCTTTCAATTTATATTTATTATTTTTGATTAGTTAAAAACAAAATGAGCTTACCGAATCGTTCATTTTGTCTACCTACTATTTTAAAGAAACCATGTTGGTACAGTTAGGCTCAGGTAGTTGTTTGTTTAAATATTAACTTAGTTACCCTTCAAAAGCTCGACTACCTGGCTGCGCAGGAATATGGTAGGAAGAAGTATCAGAACGTACAGACCCTTTTAGTTTTCTATACCTAGCAGTCCCTAATACCCTAGCACTACCACATAAATATACATATACAAATGAGATAAATACGGGATGTCTGCACCATGGGACCTAAGGTAAAAGATGGACAGAGACAGGATGTCAGGGTTGGGTGATGGAATCCTCTCACTGCCAGTCAAGCAGACTCACAAGACTGATCACTGAGGTTCTGACGGTTAAAGGTGTCTTGGCCGCAGTAAGAGGGAGATTTTACCAGGAGTTTCAGCTGTAATAACGAAGACGTTGTCTAGTGTTGAAAGAGGACTTTATTAAAAATCATTACAATTTATATAATTGCATTGAATTCAATATTTATGTAATTTCTAAGATTATTCAACAAAACTATTAGTTTTTGTTTTTTCATAGAATAAGGGTGACAAACAAGTACATATGATGATGATGATGGAAAGTAAATGCTGTGGCCCATAAACATCTACATTTAACCTCGATTAAGAATCAAAATGCAGAGCAGCGTTGTCACCCCTGAGGACTAAAATAGAATGCCTCAATTCCAGTAAAACAGGTCTCCGGTTAGAGAACCTCACCATACGAAACTTAAGTTACTATTTTACGCTGGTATTCAGTGAGAGCGTGGTCCTTTCCTGATCGAGCGAACCCATTTGTGCTACGACCATAATATAGCTGCAGCGTGGCTTTACCACGTACGTGACGTGTACGTGTGCATAAGTTATGGTAACGCGGTCACTTTGCTATGTTCAGAGCTGCGTTGCTATGTTCAGAGCTACTTGCTATGTTCAGAGCTGCGTTGCTATGTTCAGAGCCGCACTGCTACGTTCAGAGCTACATTGCTATGTTCAGAGCTGCGTTGCTATGTTCAGAGCTGTGTTGCTATGTTCAGAGCTGCTTTGTATGTTCAGAGCTGCGTTGCTATGTTCAGAGCTGCGTTGCCATGTTCAGAGCTGCGTTGCTATGTTCAGAGCTGCGTTTCTATGTTCAGACTGCGTTGCTATGTTCAGAGCTACTTTGCTATGTTCAGAGCTGCGTTGCTATGTTCAGAGCTGCGTTGCTATGTTCAGAGCTGCGTTGCTATGTTCAGAGCTGCGTTGCTATGTTCAGAGCTGAACACATGTTCACACAAGTCTGCACACTCTTGCATGTTTCATAAAATTTTACGCTTTTGAAAAATGGTATAAATCACTAATTTTGAAACGTAAAATTTTTAAATGAATATCTTAATCTGTGCTGTTATGTATGTAGATATAATAAATTGTCATTGTTGAGCTGCGTTGCTACGTTCAGAGCTGCTTTGTATGTTCAGAGCTGCGTTGCTATGTTCAGAGCTGCGTTGCTATGTTCAGAGCTGAACACATGTTCACACAAGTCTGCACACTCTTGCATGTTTCATAAAATTTTACGCTCTTGAAAAATGGTATAAATCACTAATTTTGAAACGTAAAATTTTTAAATGAATATCTTAATCTTTTGTTGTTAGTTTTTGTTGATCAAGTAATTGTCTTTAGATATAATAAATCTGTAGAAAAATGATTTGTTCATGATTCACGTAAAAACTACTCGACGAATTTCCATGACATTTGGTGTGTACGCAGTAAATGGTAGCTTATAACATATAGGCAACGTTTTATCCGATTATGGAAGACTAAAAAAGAAAAATTATGTTTTTAGTTTATTGTTATAATGGTTGCGGTGTTTCTATTAATCAATAAGAGCATTTAGCTATACGTATTACGTTAAAGAAGTCTATAGAAAAGTGTGTGTGAAAATGAGACTCATCGCGTAACCAACCAGAAAGGGCAGAATAACGTCTGCCGGGCCATCTAGTTGAATAATAAGTTTAATTAATGAATAATGAAATGAAATTTAGTTTATAATGTTTTTTTTAATATTAACAGAAATACGCGGCTTTGCTAGAAAAGGAAAAAGTTGGAGCAGCGGAACTGCCGTACGTGGGAGAAGACAAATTACGAGCACTTGGCGTACCGCTGGGTCCGAGAATGAGGATATTGAAAGAAGCTGGCATCCATCAAGATCTGCACCATGTATCGAGAGATGATCATAATACCACAACCACGTTAGCCATTGTTTAGTGGATGAAAACATTCTACTAACATGGACCAGGAACTGTTTATTAAATTGGACTTCGTCCTAATGATTTCAGTTGATTTTTTTTGTAATTATGATAATTTACTTAGCCATTTTTATATGGAAAACACTGGAAACCTAATACTCAAATAAAAGTGACGAGGCCCTCCATCTTGATATAATTTTTAAAGGAAAAAGTATATATGCCCATACAGCCTAGTCTGGCATAACACGTATGCTCACAAAATAATTCACAATATGTTGATGTATAACATTGCGAAGTTTATAATAATAGCTTAACTGCTACTTTTTTCGTTTGCTATTTTCACAAATAAGATGCTCACACTATATATCCCATCTCTAAAATTTCTATGGAAAATCGATTTTTAACATTTATTACAACAAAACTATTAGTATAGGTGATAAGACCTTTTTACGTGAAATTATTAGCTCGTCAAATTTTATTTTTATTACCAGACTATTTAATGAGATTAAAGATACAAATATCAGAACGAAAGCATCGTAATTGTTAAACTTTTTTCATGTTTACGACAATATTCCAATGATATGCCAAAGAGTTAACCCGGCATGTATTAATCAAAAATTGTAAATATCTTGTAAATATATAAATGTAAAAACAAAATATACTCCGAGCAACGAAATTAGGCAACGTACTTAATTAGTTAATTTTTATATTCCTTGTAAGGATTTCTATTGTAAATAATTTGAATAAACCTTTTTTACGGATATGTTTACAGTTTTTATTATTGTTTAAAAAAATCCTTTCACCCACACTAAAATTTTCAACCGTATCGCAGAAGGGTTTATACATACGTAATTGCACCTGGGTCAACATCTATAACCGGGAAACAATTATATACATTTGTATGATCAACAATTGTATCTCGAATAGTATAGCCTACTAATCCATTCCATTGCAGCCTATGAAATTCCATTTCTGAACACAGGCTGCCCCTATAGATTGCCTAATATATTTTGTCATAGTTGGCACAAAAACAAACATAACATAACATGACATATTACAGAACAGACAAAATACAGAAAGAACTGGAAGTCAGCTGGATGCTTAAGATGGCAGAATTCGAAGATCGTTTGAAGGCTGCACTGTATAGTCAGGAATTTTACACACAATCATCAACCATAGAAAACAATCCGCAACGTTAGTGCAACAGTGAAACAGCTAAGTCCCCAGGAATAACAAAAACAATGTTTATGCATTAAGCAAGGATTTGAACGGTCACGCAACCAATAGAATGTAAAACCAAGACAGCGGCAACCAAATGTATTTAAATGTTTAGTCTACTGCAACTGCAAGTTAGAAGTTGTATAAACACAATTGATGGACTTGACATGCGGCAACGGCAAAATGTATTGCTATACAATGGCATCCCCGAGGACTCTGAAGTAAGCTTAATTGATAAGGTTCTAAGCTTACATAGCAAAATGGGCCTTTCTAATGTGAGCAGAACCTCGATCAAACGATGTCACAGATTGGGCTCACAACTTATCTTTAATTAACATGGATGAATAATCCTCTTCACACAGGAACAGTGAGTCATCTATTTCTTTACATGGGTGAAGAAGTGACACTGCTTTCAACCCTTTCATCAGAAGGTAGGGGTATTTGGGTACAATAAGGGATGTTTGGTTCATGGAATTAGTGCTAGGTAAAGGAAGAATTTTGTAATATATGTATGTATTCGAATCAACTAGGGGTATATCTGGAATAAAGGTTATTTGATTTTCCTTTGCGTATACTTTTAAATCTATGTTTTGCTCTAATTTTAAAATGTTTTCTACTTTTACAGGAAATAATGATTATTTCTTTGTTCAATAATTTTTAACAATGACAAGAGTTCATCGGTGTCAATAATAGACTGGTGCAATGTTCCCAGTTCACTAGAAGCTACTAGTAGCTAGTTTCTATTTCATCGAGTTTGACATATATAGTTTGAAAGTTATGTAGAAACAGGTTATATAAGTTAGATATTTTAAGTTCCGTTTGAGAGTTTTTTGTTATATTAATTTGTTTTCTCATTTCCCAAAGAGTTTTATCCAGCTGTAAGAAATTGAATTTTGTGCAATTTGTAACGTTAATAAAATACATATACATAAATAAATACATAAACACTCACGCCTGTCCCCCAGAGAGGTAGGCAGAGACTACAGACTTCCATTTGGCACGATCCTGACACACATCTCTCGCCTCCTTCACATCCATACACTTACGCATACATGCTCGTCGGTTAAGGGTACTCCTAATTTGGCCCGTTTTCAATAAATCGCCAATTTGGTCGATAAATTTTCGCCTAGGACGTTCCTTTCCGACTCTGCCATTCACTTCTGCAACATAAATTTTCTTTGTCACTCTTTCCTCATTCATTCTTTCCACATGACCAAACCACCGAAGCATTCCTTTCTTAATCCTGGTCACAACATCATCTTGCAAACCACACTCTTCTCTTATTACACAATTTCTTACCCTGTGATTCAAATTCAGCCCTAACATACTCCTTAACGACCACATTTCTACTTCGTTCATTCTACTCTCGTGCTTCTTCTGCCACACCCAACTTTCACTACCATACTTTAAAGTAGGGACCAACACAGCATTGTGAATTGCCATACGTGCCTATTTCGACACATTTTGACTCTTCACAATAGAGTGCAGGGCCCCATTTACTCTATTTCCCGTATTCCCTCGTCGTTCTATATCCTTATCATATCTCCCATCCCTGCTAAATACGCAGCCCAAATATACAAACTCATCTACATGCTCGATCAACTCCCCTTCTATTCTTATTTCACAAATCGTTTTACTTTCTTCTCTCTAACCTTCGTCTTACTTGCGTTTACTTTCAAACCCCTTTCTTTTAATGATCTGTTCATTAATGTAACCATCATTTGCAACTCGGCCGCCGACGTCGCAAGACTAACTTGGTCATCGGCGTACAAAAGGCATTTGACGGTTAACTCACCCATTCTTAATGAGTGAGTTAACCTTCTTCAACTTTCATTCTTCAACTTTCAAATTTTGCAAACAACTGTCCATAAATAGGTTGAACAGCCAAGGGGAAGCCACACAGCCCTGTCTGATGCCTTTATGGATGTCAAACCAATCCGAGTAGACCCCGTTGATCCTAACACAAGCACTAGAGTCCCTATAAAGAGACTCCAATGCCTGTATCAAGCCAGCGCTCAAGCCAAATGAGTTCAGTGTTTGCCATAGCACATCCCTATCCACTCTGTCATAGGCCCTTTCCAAGTCCATGAACGCACAAAAAACCTTTTTTTGGTTTTTGGCCAAAAACTTCTCCGCGATCATGCGCATGGAAAAGACTTGATCTGTACATCCCATTCCCTTTCTAAGTCCCGCTTGCACATCCCAAATTTTTCCATCAGTTTCTTTCATGACCCTTTCAATCAGTACCTTAGCATACAGTTTTCCCACAATGCCAAGAAGGCTGATGCCACGGTAGTTTTTACAGTCCTGGTGCGACCCTTTTCCTTCATGTACTGCGACTATCACGGCTTTGCACCAGTCTACCGGTACCCGCTTCAGTTCCCAGCATAAATTAAACAAGGTGTGCAGCAGGCCTGCGACCACTTCCTCTCCAGCCCTTAGCATTTCGAGTGAAACTCTGTCATATCCAGCAGCCTTACCTGCTTTCATGCTTTTCATTGCTTTCATTATTTCATCTATACTTATCTCGCTACCTCTTTCCTCTTCTTTCGGAGTTTCTTTACTTAGTACACACGTTGTCTCCTCACTCATAAACACGCTTTCAAAATATTCCTTCCATCTCTTTAAACTCAAAACTTCATCATTCAGAATATAGTCATTCTCGTCTCTCATAGCATTCATCATAGGCTGTTTTGAATGTCCCCTGGCAGTTCCTACAAGTTTTCAGAACATTTTAATATTTGCCTGGAAGTTATCCGATATTCTTCTTCGTTCATCTCTCTCATCATTCTTATCCGTTCTTTCTTGCTTTTTTCTTTCAACTACTTCTTTTACTTTCTTATTTAATGTGTAAAACTTTTTTCTTTCAATATCATCATTCGTACCCCTAGAATTTGCCTAGCCTTTGTTGCTAGTAAATCTAGCCGTGCTCTCTTTTTTGCTTCAACTTCCATACGTATCTCATCATCCCACCATAACGTATTATTTTTTCTTTCATTTTTTCTCTTACTAACACCACATACTTCGGTAGCTGCATCCACTAAACCTTTCTTTACATTTTGCCATACATTCTCCAAGTCTAACTCCTTCATACATAATTCATCCAAACCACTTATATTTTCATTCAGTCTACATTTGAACTTATTTTTCTCACCTTCATCTTGTAACCTTTCTGTTCTAATACGCTGTAACGCAGTAGTAGACACAGATGATCGATGGCGCCAACGCCTGAACAGACCATTAATTCGGCATAAAACCAAATAATGATCCGTTCCTACGTTAGAACCCCGGTAAACCCTGGTATCTACCACTGCGCTCCTCAATCTTTCATCCACAATTATGAAATCTATCATGCTTCTATCGTCACCTCTTTCCCAAGTATACATGTGAATCCTCTTGTGGCGAAAGCAAGTGTTCGTCACAAAAAGATTCTTTTCCATACATACGGTGAGGAGACTTTCACCATTCTCATTTATACTTTCATCACCAAACGTTCCCAATATCCTTTCATAACCAAGCCTTCCATTAAAATCTCCTAGCATAATAATATTTTCATTTCCCTTACACTTCATTAACACCATCCTTACCATTTCCCAAAACTGCTCTCGGATATAAGTGGGCTTAGACATGTCTGGGGCGTAGAGCCCTAACACAAACAACTTCTTTAAGCCCACTTTCATTCGTATCCATAGCAGTCTTGAGCTTTCACATTCATACTCTTTCACACATTGGCCCATTCTTTCTGAAAGGATGATACCTACTCCCTGGCATGCCCGCTCGATCTCGTCTACACCAGACCAG